CAAACCTGTGAGACAGGTATCATTATCCCTTAAACTGTAGGTCTTTGTTCTCGATGATAATACCCTTGCTTTACATTTTACAGTGTAATATCTTGGTATAACTTTATTCTTCCTACAACACCTGGCTCCATCTTACCCTACAGGGTTCTCCTACTCCTCTGACACTAAAATTCTGTCTTTTCCTCATCTGTCCTCCCGTCCCACTTTAGGAGGGCCTTACATAAAGCATCCTCTTAGCGTCTATGTTTCTAACATCAATGTCCAGACTTCTTTAAAAGGAGCCAGGTGATGTAGAACTCGGTAAATTCCCTACTGCTAGGCTCTCCCAATACTCCAGCTGCCTAATGCAGACTTCCCCAACCCCTTGTAACTCTATGACCTGTCAAGTCAGCCTCCAGCTAATCCAAAAAGATAACTGGCCCTATTCCAGTCACTCATTTAAAAATATTACTCCATAGCATATGTCACTTCTTAATTTATATTTGCTAAAGTTTAATGTTAAAATGAGTTTCCTTTCCCTAATGGCTTATAATTAATCATCAGAGAGGAAGGCCCAAAAATATACCAAAGCCTTACCAAGGACAGTACCCTGGATACTACTAGATTCCAATTAGTTATCTGTTGAATAATTAATAAAAAAAAATAATGATTATAAATACTAGCTCAAAAAATTCCCAAAGGGTATAATCAAAATTATTTTATTTACAAATAAAAAGGAAATGGTAACAGGGAACACAAATAAGCGATCACAAAAGGCAAACACAAAAGAGCATCAAATATAAACAAATCATAGAAATGCAAATTAAAATACCACTTTTTGTCAGACAGATTGGCAAAGATTAAAAATTTGTCAAGAAAGTAAGGACACAGGCATTCTCATTGACTTCTGACTGATGTAATTTGGTATTTTTGGTATCTATGCATCAAATACCTTTGAAATTTACATACCCTTGGACTAGCAATTCCATTTCTAAAAATTCATTATTAGAAAATAATTGGACAGAGGAACACAGACGTATGTAAAAATAAATTCACTGTGGCACTACAATAATATTAAAATCTGTCCAACAATAAGTGGTTGGTTAAATAAATTTTAGTACTACTAAGCTATGGATTATTAAATCATTTCAGAATATTATGTACTGTATAATCCCAGTTTTTTTTTAATAACACATATTCACATAAAAACATACCTGCATAGAAAAAATTCTAGAAGTATACACCCCAAAATGTTAGCAGTGATTATCTCTGTAAAAAAACAGTGGAATTATTTGATTTTTTTCTTTCTGCTTTATCAAAAGCACCTAATTTTTCTACAGTAAGCTGGGTTGTACATGGATGATAATAACGCACATTCTTAAAAGGCAAAAGCAAAATTGAGGATCACAATTTAAAGGCAGAAGTGCCATCATTATAACAGAACAGAGAACCTTCCCATGTTCCATAATAATGTCAGGCAGAGTTAACATCAAATAAAGACATCAACTTCGTATTCACTAGCCTAGTCATTTTTAAATAATTCTAGGAACATATATGGAAGAATCTGTTGATAATGGCATTATAAGAAAAACAAAAGACCTCCCAAATAAAAATTTAGTACTAATTCTAAAGACAGTATTGAAAATCACACAGTAAAAAATCTCAATTGTTTCAAGTTGAGACAAAAAAAACCCTGCTGCCGTCGAGGTGATTCCAACTCACAGCAACCCTAGAGGACAGAGTCGAACTGCCCCACAGAGTTTCCAAGGAGCAGCTGGTGGATCTGAACCGCCAACCTTTGGGTTAGCAGCCGTAGCTCTGAACCACTACGCCACCAAGGTTTTCCTTCAAGTTGAGGGTCAGCTTAAATTATCTTTTCATGCCTTTTCATGGTTATCTTGAGAACCCTCACTCTCATGAGGGATGAAACGTATAGTCAGCAACAAAATGGATTCCTTAAGTCATTCTAGGAGTATATATTATAAGCAAAGCATGTATATACCCAGGCACTATGTACAATTTCTAGCAAAGCCCAGCGAACTGCTAATGGCCATGCAGGATGTTGCCTTGGAATTGTCTGCCTGATTCAATGTGATCTGTAACATAGCCAGTTAGTAAATCTCCACTAGGACATAAACTATAATTTTCAATAAATTGGCTGCATAAAATGGATGACCATTTCAATGCATTTATGATAAAAAAAAAAAATGAAACAAACTGTTCTACTTGTACTTGTATAATTGCAGGTATCCATATAAAATCATTTAGCAGTAACATCACACCTACAACACAGTTCGCAAGTCATGTGTTATAAGCGCCACACCCCTTGAAACCCGTTGCCGTCGAGTTGATTCCGACTCACAGCAACCCTATAAGACAGAGTAGAACTGCCCCACAGGGTTTCCAAGGAGTGGCCAGTAAATTCGAACTGCTGACCTTTTAGTTAGCAGCCGAGCTCTTCACCGCTGTGCCGCCAGGGCTCAATAAGCGCCAAAGATGCTTCCAACAGGATTTAATCGCTGCTGTGAAGGTACAAGAAGCACTGAGCACAGTACAGCTTTAAGATTCCTTTAAGCCTATATTAGACTATCTTTGATGAAAGCAATATTTGTTGCCCAAGAAAATTTTCTAGTAGAAGGAGAAAAATCAAAGAACTTTGCATAAAGGAGAGAGTTAACGTTAACAGCATTTGTATAAAGCAAGTGTCATGTAATACCAAAACGGACAACACAACTATGTGGTTATTGTTGAAAAAAATGGAGATCTCCTTGCTTTAGTGATAAGCCTAGCACCATTCATTCACTCATTCAGCAAATATCAGAAAACTATATACAATAACTGGACTAGGCCTGGGGACGTAGGAGTAAACAAGCAAAGTCCCTGCTTTCACAAAGCATACAACTCTAACAAGGGAGACAGATGTATGTAACATATTTGAACATAACTGCATATGCCCTACGTCATGAAATAAAAGGGCAGGGTGCTAGGAGGGCATTTACTATGCTAGGAGTCGAAAATGGCTCCCTAGAGAAGTGAGCCAAGCACAGGGGAGAGGAAGAGAGGTCCAGGCAGAAATCATCTCCTGCGCAAAGCCCCTGCAGCTGCAACGACCCTGGCCCAATCTAAGATCTGAAACAGTCCAGGGTAACTGAAGCACTGACGCAGACTGTTTCTTGGGCATACGTTAGGTCTGAGACCTATAAAGACATCCAAGTTAAAAGATGAAGTTGGTGACTGCTATGTGAGTCTGCAGCTCAGAAGAAAAGGTCTAGACCAAATATAAACTTAGAAGCCCTTGGCTTATAGGGTGTGCGAAGCACAGGAACTGGAAGAGATTGGACAAAGTGAGCGAGATTAGGTGGAGGAGGATTATTTCCTCAGATTACAGGGGGGATAAATTAAGTACTTCTCTCTTGATTTGCAATCAAAGAAATAAAAGTATTTTCTAACATTTAGTTATGATATAATGACCTACTCAGAAAGGATAAAATTAAATATATAAAGTTCTTGGAGAAATGCTAAGACCTGAAACAATCCTTCTTCCAGTGAGTCTATTATGCGGTGCAGTTTATTTAGCAGAGGACGTCCTTCCAGCCTTTTCTAGTGCCCTAGACAAGGAAACTCTTTCTAACCCACTGATACCACTACTTCACAAGCTTTGTCACCAGAAATGCTTTCAGCCTGCAGAATTGCCATCTACCAAAGCTACATCACTATCACGAGCATTCTGAAAACACCACCAAGTCCCACAAGGGTGTGACCTCAAAAAGAATTAACGTTCTGCTCTGTACATTCAAAAGTTAACATCTTTCAGGACTATCACTATAACTCTTAAATAGCCTGCTCTGCCCTGCACAGTCTTCTACGATGAAGATACAGTATGTAATTGCTCTAAAAAGCAGTGGTCAGGTTATAGTTACAGAAAAGCTGAATTAAAATATTCTACAATTTACGGCCAAAGCACCATATATGCATGACATGCCTTAATACAAACTCACCTGATTTATTTGAAGCATGTTAAGACAATATTGACCAAACTGCTATATCCCTCACGGCTCCAAAAACTGGAAAGTGAAAATGAAGAAATAAAGTTCAACTTAGTCAGTGACCTCAATGATTAGCATTTTAAACACATGCCCTTGATCAAAATCAAACGTAAAATGGGAGGTGATACAGATCAGTATAGAACTTTCTATGATGATGGCAATATTCTATATCCGTGCTGTCCAACCCAGTGACATGTGACTAGTGACTAGTGACAACCCAGTGACTAGTGACATGTGGCTCCTGAGTTCTTCAAATGTGGCTCCTGCAACCCAAAAAGTAAATTTTTAAGTTTATTTAATTTGAATTAATTCAGATTTAAACAATATAAAGCATGTGGTTAGTGGCTACCATACTGATCAGTGCAGACCTGAATTGAACAAAGTTCCTTCTGGCTCTACTAGAGTTTTAAAACCCAGCAAAGTGAAGCTATTTAAAAATAAATAAATAAACCCTTAAAATTTAATGTAAACCCCCCTTGCTCTAGTTAGGTTTGAAACCACTTTGTCCCCATCCTCTATATGATAAATTAAGCCTGAAGGAGATGCACTATCCCCAGCATTCCCTTCTTTAAAGAATACACAGTTAAGATTACCTAGCTGGATTTGCTCTTCTTTTTCTCTAAGCATACACTTCTGTTTATTATTGTTATTATAAAAAGAGCATGCACATTAAAATTTTACATAGAAGTTTTACCCAAAAAATCGCCCCCCGTCTCAGCGCCCTGACACAGATCCACTGTTCCATCTGCGCTTGTTTCCTGCTGGGCCCAGCCCTCCCCCCTTGGTTTCTCTCCTTCCACGTGGTCAGTCTCCTCTACACTTAACTCAGAAACAGCTGTCAAAGAAGGCCAGGAAAACCCAAATTTTAAATAAATAAATACAGTGTGTGCTCTCTAACGGGAAAAGTCTACATAAAATACAAATGATGTATAGATCATCCAAAACATTATCTACAAAGCAACAACAGTCTTGATATACAGCAAAAGTGCTAAATCCAAGCAACAAAGTATACGTATTTATCACTGTGTAGAAATTTTTATGCTCTAAAATTTTCATACTGAATTTCCTCTTAGAAGCAAAGGTTCTTAAAAAATGTGTGTGTCAATACAGTAGAAACTAGCACAGCTTGTACTAGGAAAGGTCATGGAAGCCCCACAGACACATCCAAACTCCCCAAGGGACTGAATTGCTGGGCGGAGGGCTCTGGGACCATGGTCTCAGGGAACATCTAGCTCAATTGGCATGACACAGCTTATAAAGACAATGCTCTACATTCTACCTTGGTGAGTAGTGTCTGGGGTCTTAAAAGCCTGTGAG